GAATGCCGTTCTTCCAGCTTGTCCCTGGGATAGCATTGCAGGTAGGCCACACCCCTGGGGAAACTCCCCTTAGGCAGACCGGCCACTTAGAACTCAGTTATGTGATCCATCATGGGAACCACCACTCACAACTGGAGTCCAGCCAAGTTGACACATCTTCAACTATCACACAGTGCTAGGTAGATACCCCGACGGGAAGAACCCACTAGTGGGGCCCTCTGCATTTGGGGCTCCTGCTTTCCCTGTCTGGGTGCCAGGTCCTCAATTCTCCTGAAAATACCCCCCACCTGCCTGTGTCCTGATTCACACTCTGGCTCTTCCACTCGCCTGCTGTGTGACTTTGGGCAGGGCACTCGCTCTCTCTGTACCCCAGCTCCCTCATCTGTGAAATGGAGATTATCCATTGTGTCTGCCCTCAGGGGTTGGTGAGAGGGTTAGACAACTTAGTACAAGTACAGTGTTCAGCATAGTGCCTGGCACAATGCAAGAGTCTAAAAGTGGGTGATGTTTGCAGAAATGGAAAAGTCAATCCTCAAATTTCTTTGGAAAGGCAAGGGACCCCAAATAGCAAAAGCAATCTTGAAGAAGAAGAATAAAACAGGACTCCCAGTTCCTGATTTTAAAACATACTACAAACCTACCGTAAATGAAACAGCCTGGTACTAGTGCAATAGCAGACATATAGACCAGTGGAACAGAATTGAAAGGCCAGAAATAAACCCAGTTGATCTATGGTCAACTGATTTTGGACAATGGTGGTAAGTTTATTCAATGAGGAAGGAATAGTCTCTCCAATAAAAGGAATTGGGAAAATTGGATTTCTATGTGCAGAAAAATGAATCAGGATCCATGCCTCACACCATACACAAAAGCCATTTCAAAATGGGCCAAGCACCTAAATATGAAAACTAAAACCATGACATTCTTAGAAGAAAATGGAAGGATGGGGCTATGGAACCTAGTGTTTAGCAACAGATTATCAATGATGATAACAAACACTCTAGCAGCAAGAGACAAAATGGATAGATGGGAGAGAATGTTTGGAAACTGTTTTATCAGCTAACAGCCTCATAACCACAATATATCTAAACTCTAACAACTTAACAACAAAAAGACAAACAACCCAGTCCAAAAAAAAAAAAAAAAAAAA